GCTGGACAAACTGGTCGCTAAGGGGAGTCTGACTGTTGACCCAACATCCTTTAATTAATCTCTTCAGTGAAATCTTTCCCCGCCACCACTAGAGGGAGATGCTACTTCTAGTTTTTTTTTTCTCTGTAGGAATGTGCCTTTAACTCTCTTGCCCCAGGGATATTAAAAGTGGAGGAGCTGAGGCCAAGGACAACCTGCAGCCAAACTATCAGCGGGCATTCAAGCCTTGGGCTTGAATTTCAACTCTACCATTTCTTGGCCGGCTGAGGTATCTTTGGCAAGGTCCCCTTGAGAGCGTTCATTTTCTCTGCTGCTGAGTGAGCAATGGAAATGCCTCATCTGTGATGATACGTGGGGCAGGCTTCCAGATAGAGCTTCCAGTCTAGAAACCCCAGAAATGCAAATGCTCCACTTGCTCCCATCTCAGTAAACAAGCTCCTGTCTGCTGATGGGTGGTTGAGAATGTCAGCAAGTCTAAGGAGGAAGGCAGGTAAGCAGAATTTGGTCCTGCGCCCTGCCTCCTCCCCCATGAAGTAGGAATGTAGGATGCTTTGGGACATCCAGGGTAGATGCAAGAGAGGTCCTGGTCAATTGTAATTTTTGAAGGTCCAAATTTGTTAAAGTATGAAATGCCCAAGGAGGTGCAGAAAGGCAATTCAGAGACAAAAGCACTTATTTATTTATTTATTCATAACATTTATTTTAGAGTGTGTATGTGTGCACGTGTGTGTATGTGCTCTTGCACAAGCAGGAGAGGGGCAGAGAGAGGATCCCAGGGCTCGATATCATGAGATCATGACCTGAGCTGAAATCAAGGGTCGGATGCTTAACCAACTGAGCCACTCATGTGCCCCCAGAGACAAAAGCATTTAGAAAATTAGTTTCATAGTAAGTGTATGTTGTAAACATACATAAAAAGGCAACCAGTTTCCCTGGTCAGTCACATACAGGGACCCCTGACTGTTGTCTGCCCCCAGACAAGAACCGTACAGTCAGACCTCAAAGACAAACTTCTCCATGATGCTGCCACTCTTGGGGAAATAAAGTGGCTGTGTATATAACTGGGAGCAAGCTTGGTTATGAACCAAAACCAGAGTCAGAAAAAAAGCACAAAGGAGGGGATGAAAGGGAACTTCTATTGCTACAAGAAATCCACGCCAGGAGCTGCAAAAGAAGGCCTGAGCTCAAACAGCTTAAAAGGCCCTTCTTGGGCCTGATGGATTCAGTTTTGATTGACTGACTCCTCCTTAGCAATGCAACCATACCCTTTAGAAAAGTAGTTTACTTGCAAATAAGGCTGCTAAGAGACACCAGGCTTTGAAATAATTATATTTTATTTCCCCATGAAGTAGGAATGTAGGATGTTTGGGGGCATCCAGTGTGGATGCAAGAGAGGTCCTGGTCAATTCTAATTTTCGAAGCTCCAAATTTGTTAAAGTATGAAATGCCCAAGGAGGTGCAAAAAGGCAATTCAGAGACAAAATCACTTATTTATTTATTTATTTATTTATTTATTTATTTATAACATTTATTTTAGAGAGAGAGAGTGTGTGTGTGCACATGTGTGCATGTGCTCTTGCACAAGGAGGAGAGGGGCAGAGAGAGAGGTATAAAAAATACAACACCCATTTAAAGGGGAAAACTCCTTAAGATCGTAAAGGTTGAAAGTTTAGTCTGGTTTTTTGTGGGAAACAGCAATTTTCTTACATGATATCAACATAATGCCATAGGTTCAGAAATTTGTACCATTAAAGGTCAGGGATAAAGTTGTATTAGAACATCAGGAAAGACTCTAGTTTTAATTTATTTGATGATAAGAACAAACCGATCATTATCACTTATAGAAGGGTGCAAAGTCCTGTTTCTCCCATTTTGACTGAAATGTTCTGTGCGGCTTATCCTCTTAACGGAGGAGGGCAACGTGTCAGCTTTGCTTCTGCAGAATGAAAAAGATTACAGCATATTTTAAAAGTTCCAAATTAACAAATTAACACTTTTAACACACAAACCACACTGCAAGGTAATTGTGCTATTCATAAGCTAATTATAGAATTTATAAAAGACCTGAATTCATTCACAGGTTTGGTAATGGCACTCACGTTTAAAGTCGCGGGAGCAAAGCCTCTCAGGCCTTCTAGTAGGCCCAGCAAACGTCAAATGCAGAAATCTAAATGTGAGACCCACCCCCAACCCTCAGAGCCCTCCTGAGAAGAGCCTTGATGGCAAGCTTTGGACGTGGGGTAGAAACGGAGGTAGATTTTTTCCCCCATCTTCTTTTACTTCCTCAAGTTTATTGTTCTGTCAGATTTGTAAACACTATTAGGGGAAAAAAAGGTCTTCCTTCAGGATGTGAAATTTGAGCTGGCACCTCTCCAAATATCACTTTCCTTAGTGTAAAAGGGACATGATATTAGGACCGTCTTATGGAGGGGAGAGCAGGTGCGGATAGCTCTTCTCGGTTGTGCTGTTAGTATGAACCCTGCATAACCTATCTATTCCTGGAAGAGGGTTCCGGCTCAGGCTCACTTCCTTAAGTGACTTCTCATCTCTCTGGGCCTCAAAATCACCTCCCTGAAACGGGTTTCAGGGTTTCACTTTGCAATGGCACCTCCATCTTTCTCAGCCTGTCATAGACCAAAGCACAGAATGGTGGTAAAGGGTGGCTTTTCCTCTGGGAACTGGCTAGTTTCACACCTGCAACTGTGGCCCCGCCCCTAACTCGCGGTGCGGCTGAAGTTGTGCGGCCTTCTGGACCGTGGACTACAGTTCCCAGCATGCCCCGAGGGCCTCTCGGGCCAAGTCTCGCGTGATGTGACGAGACCTCGGAAGGCTTTACAGGAAGGCTGCCGGTCGCTGCCGGCCAGTGCTGTTTGGTTGGTGCCTGAGGCCTTCCGTGTCTCCACAGGCACGACGCTGCTCGCACCATGGCTTGGGTCCCGAGTGCACCACAGCGTCTCGTGAGACGGGGGTCCTCGGAGCCTCTTTAGTGCCGGAGCTCTGGCCGCAGGCAGCCCCGCGGCGGCGGAAGAACAGGTAACCAGACGGCCCAGGCCTGGCCCTCCTTGGGGCTGTGTCCTGCGGGCATACGGAGGGGCGTGCCTGTGGCCCCTCCACCGAGGCGCTGGCAGAGGGCCTCTCCGTGGCTCGCCCTTGTCCCCTGCCCAGGGTCAGAGCTCGGCCCCACAGCCCCTAGCTTCTCTTGCCCCGCCTTCTGGGAGGTTGTCTAGTGGGACGTCTGTCTGATGATCCCCCTGCATCCCCGCACCAGGCCTGGTCTCTGCTTCCTCAGACTGGGCTAGCCCGGGAACCCCACTCCTAGCCCTCACCCCATGCCTCTGCCTTGCCCTGCCCTCGGGGAACCTTCGGCTTGTGCCAGGCCGCGGCCTTAATCTCCTTTTTCTTAGACTCGCGGGGTAGGAGGGGGGTTGGGTCAGATCCTTTCAAATCCTTGTGGCTTTGTTCTGTATCCTGTGCAGGAGCAGCGTGAACCCTGCGGGGGAGTGCGAATGGGGAAAGGGAAGGGGAAGTGGAAGGGGCTGTATGTGGGTCGGAATGCTTCCTGGACCCGGAAGATGCTGAACTTTGGTTTCTGCGATGTTTTAAAAAAAATTTTTTTTTCAACGTTTATTTATTTTTGGGACAGAGAGAGACAGAGCATGAACGGGGGAGGAGCAGAGAGAGAGGGAGACACAGAATCGGAAACAGGCTCCAGGCTCTGAGCCATCAGCCCAGAGCTTGATGCGGGGCTCGAACTCAAGGACCGCGAGATCTGACCTGGCTGAAGTCGGACGCTTAACCGACTGCGCCACCCAGGCGCCCCGATCTGCGATGTTTTTTAATGAAGAACTAACTAGTTTGTCCTCTGAGCTTTCAGGATAGAGGGTCAGTGCAGCAAGTTGAAAAGCAAATAACTTGGCTTTTTGAGGGCTTAAAAAAAATTTTTTTTTAATGTTTATTTGAGAGAGAGAGAGAGAGAGAGAGACAGAGAGAGAGACAGAGAGAGAGACAGACAGACACAGAGCCTGAAGCAAGCGCCAGGCTCTGAGCTGTCAGCACAGAACCCCAGGAGGGCCTGGAACTCAAGAGCTGTGAGATCATGAACTGAGCTGAAGTCATATGCTTAACCAACTGAGCCACTCAGGTGCCCCCAAGGGCTTTGTTTTAATTCCCCTGTAAAATGGGGGTGAAACTATCAGCCTTGCAGATGGGCCACTTATCTGTGACAGTGGACAAATCACATATATACATCTCCTGAGTTTTAGTTTCCTTCTTTTAAAATTATAGGGGATAGAAAGTGCCCGCTTTGCAGAGTAGAAAATGCTTATGAATAGAATGTTAATGCTGGCAACAAAGAATGAGTTTAACCATTATGGTAAATAGCTCCTTGCTGTGGGTTAAGTTGTATGGACCCTGGGTCCTAACTTACTTAAAAATGAAATGTTTATAATCACTGTTGCGAGGTTGTGGGGAATACATGAATGTATAGGAAGGTGTTTGGCAGCCTCTGAAGGGCTCTACCAATGCTGGTTGTTTGTTATTCGTAGAACCTCTGAAATGGATGGACTCTTCCCAAGCAGCTTTGCTAATTCACAGCAGCTGGACAATGTTCCTCATTAATACCTGTCTGTCAGCATAATCGTCACATCATTTCACTCTGGTAAGGTGACCTTTTCACCACGTGTTAGTGTCTTTGTCATATCACAGGTGTTAAGATCAGCCATGAGTGTGGTGAGACCTTTGACTTTATCCTTTTTTTTTTTTTTTTAAGTCATCTTTGGCATGTTTGTATGTTTGTCACCCACCCATTGGCTCTTCAACCAAGGTTGAAGTGTGCTTCAACCTTGTGAACAAGCTGTAAAACTGTGTGCCTGTCAGAAGAACAGGATTGGAGCTATTCTTTCGTGTTCACTGTAAGAAAATGCCCTTTGTTATTTTTATTAGGTGGCAGGCACTCAGCTCCGAATTCTATATAGAAAAAGCACCTGGATCCCAGTCTTTCAATGGCTTCGAGACAACCAGAAGTGCCTGGTAAACTTAATTCTTTTTGATAAAGTTTTGTTTTGCCCTTAATGTTTTAAGCTAGATAGAAACCAATTTTTTTCTCAACCATATATTAATGGTTACTTTCTGCCTCCAGGCAAGTATGTAAACTTAATAGATTGGCATCATTTAAATATTATCTTGCTAACTACCCAGCCAGGGTACAAACCCAAACCCTCACTCCTAAGCGTACAGTCATTTCACTTAAGCATATACCAAATTTGTCACTTTCCTACAGATATCAAATAAGAATTCAGAATAAGTTGTGTAGTTCTAATAGTATGTACCAAAAATGACTGTACCTATCCCCCTTTTTTGAGGGGATGGGGGTGGGCAGAATGGAGGTCTGGGCAAAAAGGCACCAGCCTGATTTAAAGGCAGATTAAACTTGGGCAGTTGTGAAAACCCTCACAGCAACATCTAATGAGTCCTGGGCCTGTGTAGGGCAGTACCTTCTGGGTTACTAAAGTCATTGATCCCTCCTAGGACTGTTTTAGTGGGAAGGACCAGTGATTTTTAATCAGATCTGAATCCCTCAAATTTTGATTCTCAGTAGAGAGATACTGCCTGTCTTTCAAGGTTGCTGTGAAGATTAAATATAACATATGTGAAAATGTGAGTTAAAAAATTAGTGATGAATATACATGTACTGCTCAATTTTTTGGTCTCTATCTGTAGGAATATATTTCCTAATAAATTTTAGCTGACTTAGTATTATTTTTAGAAGGGCTGTTGGGATGGCTGCTAAGAGGGGTCTTTAAGATACTTTGAAATTGCTCCCAAATTAGGTGGATTATTAGGAGTCTCCCCCACGTCTCTCGATGTGGATCTGTCTCTGGTCTCTAACATCATCAGTTTGCATTATAGTTTGTCTTTCATCATTGTTGTGATCACATGAATTCCCTGTAACCATCTGGGCTATAGGGTTGCACTCATTAGGTTAAAGTTTGAGTGTGGGGAGGATGGAGTGTTGCACATAGAGTGTGAGCACTGGCTTAGATCTATGATGCAGTCCCCACCTTGCTACCTGGGTGTCACTTAAGTTCAATGCCTCAGTTTCCTGAGCTGGAAAATGGGAAGAATATCTGCTTAATGAGCATTAAGTAAGATGAGGGATGTAACTGCTCAGCAAGGAACGGTATTTGGTAATTATTATTTGCTTGTGTGTTTGTTTTAATTGAGTTAATTCACATGCCGTAAAATTCCCATTCAAAGTGAACAGTTTAGTGGTGATTCGTATATTCCCATGGTTGTGCAACCATCCCCACCATTTAATTCCCGAGCGTTTCACCACCCCAAAAAGAAAACCTTGTACCCATTAGCAATCACTTCTCCTCTGTTTCATCCCAGTCCCTGGCAACCATTGATTCTTTATTTCTGTGGATTTGTTAGTAATTATTATTAATGTTAATAATAATGGTAGCTGCTTGTTCCCCTTGCTGTTTAAATGAAGTGTCTTTGCTGGTTTGGGACTTCCTGCCATTGAAGTTGATGTCTTAGAGAGTTATGATATAATTTTAAGCAGGAAAATGTCATGCTGAAGGTAGGATCTGGACATCAGTTCTGCAGTGAAAGGATTAGCAAACAAACAAAATGAACTTTGCTCCCTGGTCTGGCAGAACTGAGAGTGCCCTTGAAGTAGGGTGCCTGTGTCACAGTGGGACATTCCTTCCGCCAGTGAGTTCAGTGGACAGGAATGGCAGGATCAGCCGGCAGTGCTTTATGAGAGTGGTTGTCAACAATTTCTGTGATGGAAATTGGCTCTGCTGTTTAAATCACACAGACTGCTCAAAACTAGAGGTGACTCTGGACAGGAAATGGTTTAATTATATCTTTTTAAAAAATATATACTTTAATGTTTTATTTATTTATTTATTTATTTACTTACTTACTTACTTACTTACTTACTTACTTTGCGGGGGCGGGAGGCGGGAGCCAGAGAGCAAGGGGGACAGAGGATCTGAAGTGGTTCTGCTCTGACAGCAGTGAGCCCGACGTGGGGCGCGAACTCATGAAACGTGAGATCATGACCTGAGCTGAAGTCAGATGCTTAACCAACTGAGTCACCCAGGTGCCCCTAATTATTTCTTATCATGACACTCTTGTTTTCTTTGGTAGAGTAGTTAAAGAAGGCAGAAGATTTGCAGTTGTGCCCCAGCTGGCTACTTTCTGTATGAGCTTTGCCAAATCACTTTACCTGTAGGCCTTAGTTTTGTTATCTATAAAATGGGAACAAGAACTGCATATCTTTAGTCCTACATGAGTTGAGAGCCTTGGCTTTGCCGTTGGGTGGCTTCTGTGGCATAAAGAACATAGCTTCGAAATCAGGCTTGGGTTTTGATTTGATTCCAAACTGTACTTTGAAGGTGTATGACCTTACTCAGGTAATTTTAAATTGAAGTTTGTTTTTCTGCTCCATAAAAATGGATTAGAGCTTCTGGATGGGTAAAGTGGAGAATTCAAAGCATCAGGCATAAAGGAAGGATTTAGTACTATTACCTTTCCTTGAATGGATTAGCTATTCCAGAACAAGCTATTGCTCTGTCCCAGAAGGAGAGTGTTTCAGAGCTTTCCTGCCTAAAGATTAATTTAAAGATACTAGTATGTTCAGCTGCTGAACTCATCCTGACAGGTGTCTCTGTTCTTAGCTCTAGAGCCTAGTGGGCCTCTAGGCAAGATGTCCCTGCCCATCGGGATGTACCGCCGGGCATTCAGCTATGATGATGCCCTCGAGGACCCTACACCCATGACTCCTCCTCCATCGGACATGGGCAGCATCCCCTGGAAGCCAGTGATTCCAGAGCGCAAGTATCAGCACCTCGCCAAGGTATCTGACTCCACTGACTGCTTCTGGCAAGCCCAACCTTTTCGTTTTCCTTCGTCTGCTCCAGAAGCCTTCAGTGGCTCTTGGCACCCTTTGAATTGGGTAGCCCCCAGTATGTTCTCAGTGCCTCAGCTGGAGTTGGTGGGCCTTCTTTTTTTTTTATGAATTCAAACTAGAATGGCTGTGTCTTCTCTTACCTGAGACTCTGCTGTGTCATCTCCTCGCCCCGTGATCCGACCATGCAAATTATTTAAGATTTCTTGCACTTGATGGGTATCTTATGCCTCTAAGTCTTTGCATCACACTGCTGGGATGTTTACAGTCCCTGTCCCGTTTACAGCCCCCGTCCTGTTCTCCCACCCCTCCTCCTACTTCAGCTGCACGGATACATCTTAGCTCAGACATCTCTTCTGGGAGGGTTTTCCTCCATCCTGCTGCCCTTTGAACTCTCTGCTGTGCCCCTGTCATAAACTTTACGTGATTTTTATCACCTTCCATGAGGTTCTTGAGGGCAGGGGCCATGTCCAGTTTTATACTCCCATCTGCAGTATTTAGCAGAGGACCTGGCGTGAAGTAGATTTCTAAAAAAAGTTTTCATTGAGTGATTAGGAGAAAAAATGGCTCTTTCCTGAACACCTGCTGTGCTTTTCCTCATGCGGTTCCTCCTGCCTCAGATGCCTCTTCCCATCGCTATCCTCCGTAAAGGCGCCTCCTTCCTAAGGCCCACCTGTCACACACACACACACACACACACACACACACACACACACACGCACGCACATAACCCCACACACACCTCGTTGCACCTTGATCTGCTCTCCAGCCCTTTTGTGTAGTTTGGCTTCATAGGTTCTCACATGCTTGTTATAGACCTGTTTCCTGACTGCAGGGGCTGCGTCTCCCTCGCTTCTGACTCTCCAGCCATCAAGAACCCAAGAAAGGTAGTACTGTTGCCCAAATAAACTAGGCCTGCCAAGTTCACATGAGGCCATTTAACCTGCAGCTAGTTTCACTGAACTTTGAGCTGTGTGACAGCTCAGGGCCTGGCAGGAAGTGCACAGTACGCATCTGCTTAAGCAGACCTGGGTGAGAATCCCGTAAAGGTCTATGTACTAGCAATGACCTTGGGAACACAGCTTCATCCCCGAGTCACAGTGTCTTCATCTGAGAAATGAGAATACTTTATGTCATGGAGGTGTTGTGGGGGATCAAATCAAAGATTAAGAGGCTTGACACGTTAGGTGTGTATCTGCTCCTGTGACTCCTGGCTTAACTTTCACTGGGTAGAACTGTATTTGATCGTTCCTTTCCGATGAGGCCCCCAGCCCACCCCCTCCCACAGGAAGCTCTCAAAATAGGGAGCTCCGGTCTACAAAAGCATCCCCTACAGCTCTGAGGGGAACTCCCTGGATCAGTTATCTACTGAAATCTGACCCAGTCATTTGTGAAGGAGAAAACATTTAGTCTAGAAAGCACAAGAGCACCAGGGGGAAAGGGCCTGGCAGCCTGGCCTCAAGGCCAGAGCAGCACACTTGGGGGACAAGGGCAGAAAATGGGTCTGGCTTCTGATGGTGCTTTGAAGGGCCACACCCTTTCCGTCCTAAAGGCTGCTGCTTACTCCACTGGGCAAGGGATGGGCTCCCAGTTTTGTATCCTGCCCCAGCTGGAAAAGTTGACAGTTTGGAACAACTGTTCTCTCAAAAGAAAGCTTGATTTGACTCATTACATGCATTCTCTCATTTTTCCTGACTCCCCGTGTCCAAATAGTCAACCACGCTCCAAGTGAGGAAGTAGAGGTCCCTTTTAGTCAAATAGGGTTATAGCTAAAAGCTAGAAATCCCATTTTGTAACAGGGATGCAGCATTTCAGTACTTTCTTCTGCTCTCCTCCTTTTGGACCATCTTTCTCCTCAATTCTTTTGGAGAAGCAGAGAACAAAGAATAAACCCAGTTCTCTTCTTCCTGGTAGTCCTGAGCATGGTGTCTAGATTACAGAAGGTGGCATGTCTCAGCTTTCTCATGTTAAAGGTTAGGAGCTAGCTATTTATTTATTTATTTATTTATTTATTTATTTATTTATTTTATTGTCAAGTTAGCTAACATACAGCATATACAGTGTACTCTTGGCTTTGGGAGTAGATTCCCATGATTCATCGCTTACATACAGCACTCAGTGCTCATTCCAACAAGTGCCCTCCTCAGTGCCCATCACCCATTTTCCCCAGCTCCCCCGTCCCCATTTTTGATTTGTTTTAAAGACCGTTACTTGAACCTTTAGAGCAGTAGGCATCAAACTGTGGTCCTGGGCGCTTGCGGCATTAACATCACCTGGGAATTTGTTAGAAACATGATTTTTTTTTTAAATGCTTATTTACTTTTTGAGAGAGAGACCCACACAGACAGACAGAGACAGAGTGCAAGCAGGAGACAGGCAGAGAGAAAGAGAGGGAGACCCAGAATCCGAAGCAGGCTCTAGGCTCTCAGCTGTCAGCACTCGTGTAGGGCTCGAACTCATGAACCGTGAGATCATGACCTGAGCTGAAATCAAGACTTGGATGTTTAACCCGACTGAGCCACCCAGGCGCTCCAGAAACATGAATTCTTGAGAGCCCCCCCATGCCTCTCCCCGAACTCGTTGAATCAGCTCTGGGGTGGGCCCAGCAATCTTTATTTAACAAGTCCTCCATGGGATTTTGATGCTCAGCAAAGTTTGAGAACCACCTAGCAAATGTAGTGATTAAACAAAAGCCAGCATAGTGACTGGGACATGGTCAGGGCTTAGTAATGTTTCTCCTGCATTCTTAGGGACACAATCGTATAGTATATTATACAGAGGCTGGGAAGGTAGAAGACCTCAAATCTTCAAATTCTGGCTTTCTCACTTTTATTTATTTTTTTAAAAGTTTATTTATTGAGAGAAAGCATGAGCATGCACAAGCAGGGGAGGGGCAGAGAGGGAGGGAGAGAGAGAATCCCGGTGGGCTCTGCGCGGTCAGTGCAAAGCCCGATGCAGGGCTTGAACTCAGGAACCGTGAGATTGTGACCTGAGCCAAAGTCAAGAGATGCTTAACTGACTGAGCCACCCAGGCGCCCCCAGCTTTCCCACTTTTATAAATTCAGACTATTCATATAATGTCTTTTGTGTGTTTTCACTGTGGATAATACATACGTAATTGGGTGGAGATAACCAACCCCTTTTCAGATATTTCCTTACCTGTCAGGTGAAAGGTATTTGGGTAACTTCTTCCCCAAAGGAGTAAGTTTAGGTGTGTGACTCCCCTGCCCTGCTCAAGCTCCTCCTTACCTTTCTTGAACAGGCGGAGGAAGGGGAGGCCAGTGTCTCCTCCCCTGCCATGACCATGTCATCGGCCACTGACAGTGTGGACAAGGCCCCTGTGGTGAAGGCTAAAGCTACTCATGTCATCATGAATTCTCTGATCACAAGTAAGCACTTTTCATCCTCAGAATAGAATGAAGTAGGGGCGGGGAGAGTTTGGGCTTCCTACAAGCTAGCTGTGGGGGATACTGCAAACTCCCATGCCTTAGCATGGCATGTCCTGACCGTGCCTGGCCCTTGTCAGCTTGGCTGCTGAGGCGTCGGTACTGACGATCATTTAAATGGAAGGTTTGCCAAATATTGAGCATCTCAGTTGATTTGGGTGCATCCCTGCTGATCTGCTGATGCAATCTGATTTTCCCATATCCATTAGTGTGGCGTCAGGCCAGTTAGTTAACTCTCGAGACTGTTTCCCTCTCTGTGAAATGAGGCAGCTTGTTGGTGGGCTGAGGGGAGGTGTAGCTGGCCCCAGTGCTCAGTGGCTGGGAGCTGCTGCTGCTGTGGCTGTCTCAGGCCGTCCTGGAGATGGTGACACGCTGAGGCATCTCCCACCTGCCCTGCGCTACTACTACTTCTTGTTTTTAATTGAGAGGCTCAAAGTTGTTTCTCTTCCTGGACCTGAGGCAAGTTTGGTGCCTCAGACATCTTTATCGTCTTAGGAATGTGTGGTTTGTGGGTCTAATGAGACCAGAAATGAGAGCTAGCTTTTTTTTTTTTTTCTTCTTTCCCTTTTAAAACCTTGTAACAAATTAACTAAACTTTTGGTTCTGAGGGCCCTTCTAGTTGCTGTGGGAAGTTAATTAACATCTCTTAGATCCACAGCTCTGCTGGTCAGCAGCAGCTCTGCCGAGCACACAGAGCTCCTTGGTTGGCTCCGCTTTGAAGTTGGAAGTTTTTGTTTATCTGCTCCAGGAGGGCATCCACTTGTCTCGGGCAGTTCTTGGAGAATTCACCTAAGAACCCAAAGTCCAAACTCCTCCTTGGACTTTTTTTTTTTATTCCTACATAAAGGCACTGTTTGAATCAGCAACTACCACTTGTATTTTGCCAGCTTGAGAAGGTATTGTGGCAGGCGTTAGAAAAGCTTAGGCATTGTCTTAGCACAGTATTAACTTCTTTATTGATGATCCCATTTCTCACCAGTGCAGAATGTTGTTAACAGCCCAGTGTGCTCCTGTCACTCAGATACTTGTTTGGTTTAGTCACTTCCACTTTTGAGCAAGTTTTTATGTAATCACAGGTATAGACATACCATTCTGTTTTGCCCAACTAATAATGCCATGAACTTTGCTGTTGTTCTAGTCTTAAATTTAAAAAAAGCAACAAAAAACCCTCTGCATTTAAAATCCTGGTGTTAGTGAACTGTAATTCATTAAATCCTTTCCTGCTTTTAAAATTTTCAGGTGGCCACCTGGCAAAATTGGAAAACATTTTTATGCATTTGTTTTCCTTTTGCTTCTATTTCTGATGATAATAAAATAGTTCCTTAGAAGGGGAATGGCTAACTCATAAAGGACATCTGGTGTCTAGGCTTTTGGTCCCCAGCTGCCACATTCCTGTATGAAGGGGTGTGTTTTGTAGTGTGTGTACAGATGAAGCAAAAATGCAGCTGTCAGTCATACCGCAGATTAACTGACTTACTGATGAGATAAACGGGTCAGACTGACCTAACACTGAGTCTGCCTGTGTCTTCTGCCGGGTACCGTGATGGCTGATCTCACACTTGAGACACGTGGGATCAGCAGACCTTGGCTAGGTCAAAGCATGTTCTCTGTGGTTTGGATCTACTTGGGACCTTGCTGCCACCCGGCCTAAATGCAGCCCGTTTCTCTTTGGTAGAGGTCTCTGTGGGAGTAACGAGGGTGGGGAGTCTGGGGAAGCTCCACGCTTGGAGAACTTGCACCACTTCTGAATGTCAGCTGCCTTCTCCATGTTGCATTTCTAAACACAAAAAAAACCGTCAGCGCACAAATAAAGGAAGGTAAGGAGTGTTTCCCTGCAGGTGATCCGGCCGTCCCTTTAGGAGTAACCTATTTTAGTTTGCTGTGAGGGAAGGCTTCCTTCTGGTTAGAGAACTTTTGTATGAGGTTCAGCATTGCTGCCGTGATGCCCGTCTGGGGGACCCCTCCTCCTCAGATGGTCAGTGTGGTCTCTTGCTTCTGGGGAGAACAGCGGACATCTGTGTAGATCTCCCCCAGTTTGTGGTGGGCGAGGGGGATGGGCATGACCATCATCTCCTCTGTTCCCAGAACAGACCCAGGAGAGCATTCAGCGTTTTGAGCAACAGGCAGGGCTGAGAGATGCTGGCTACACACCCCACAAGGGCCTTACCACCGAGGAGACCAAGTACCTGCGAGTGGCAGAAGCACTCCACGTAAGCTCGTCTCTTAGGAACGTTAAGAAAGCCCTCCTCACTCATAGCTCGAGATGTGGCTGTGTGGCTTACAAGTTACCAGCGCAGCCAGCCGGGGGTTGTGGAGAGCAGTGGACAGAATTGGGTGAGCGTTTCAGAACTGGTTTAGTCCCACCCGTGGTGGCACTTTCTGGTTGAGAGCTCCAGAACTCTCAGCCTCTGGTTTCTGCTTATCCATCTGTAAAGTGGGGGTATCTGCCTTGTTGCCTTCTGGTCAGGGGGATCAGATGAGACTCTGAGCTTACACACATGATGTGTGTGAGCACGTTATGAACAATGGAGCGGGTACTTTGTGTACCAGAGTGACACTTTGAGGGAGAGAAGAGAATCGGACAGTCTCAACAGTTTAGCGGGAAAGGAACGTTATGCTCTATGTTTAATTTATTTTTAAAATTTTATTTATTTTGAGAGAGACAGTATGAGCGAGAGGCAGAGAGAAAGAATCCCAATTAGGCTCTGCACTGTCAGCACGGAGCCCGATGTGGGGCTCAAACCCACAAACTGAAATCATGACCTGAGCTGAAATCAAGAGTCAGACACTTAACCGACTGAGTCATCCAGGCTCCCCTAGTTTTTAAAATAGTAAAATCACAGGTAGAATTGAAATGTTTTTGCCCTTTCATTTCTAAAATTGTAATGAATGAAGAATAATTTTTGATGAGGTTAATGACTAATTGTATGAATGACATAGTTTCAAGGGATTTTCTGCCGGGGACTACTAGGTGGCACTTAATAGTGCTTTGTGATCTATGAAGCACTTGGATTCACTTAGTCTTTGTATTAATCCTTGGAGGTAGATACTGTTCTCTATATTTTATAAATGAAGAGACTGAGGCCCAAGGTCATATATGTAACCAGTCACAGTACTAGAACTCAAAATCTCCTGATTCCCTATTTCCCGGTGTTTTCCCCCCCATATTCCAAAGTTGTCTGGGAATCTGGTTCCTTAAGGGGTCATAAGAGGATCATGATGCACAGTATATGGTACTGGTGGCTTGTGGGTAAGGATATAGGACATTGTGGACTGTTTGCGTTTTGCAGTGAGCATCCCAGATGATTCTTTGCACCCTGAGTTTAGAAACCACTGCTGTAGGGCGTCAGGGTTGGGTTGGTGGCTCATTTAATCTCTCAGACAAGGCAGATAATTCTGGAGAGGGGCACTGTCCGTCTTTGAGAACTTTCCAGGATAGGGGTCAGTCAGAATTCCAGTTGAGCATTTTTTCCAGTTGGCTGGCCCATTTTCTGCATCTTGGCCACAGGAGTAGAACGTGAGGATGGCTGAAATGCCAGCTTACATAAATTGACATGTTGAGTGTGGGAGAACATTTAGACATGCTCATTTGTTTGGAATGTAGCTTGGGCTTGCTAGATAATGGCGCACAGAGACCGTGGTGGCGGAGCGGGCCTTGATCTAGAAGAACTGAAAAGTAGACTTGTCTCTCCCCTCCGAGACGGCTAGTCTGCATGTTAGGAACCCAGAGTGACTTTCCCCAGTGAAGGGAAAGGGGCAGGCTCCACATAAAAGCATTTAGCTGGAGAGGAGTAGCATGCCTGAGTCTTGGCTTTGAGACACCAGGAATGGCAGGGCTTGTACCCGGTAGGAGAAGCAGCATGAGTGTTCAAGGGCCTTAAAAGGCCGAAAAGGCCTATAGCTTGTGTTCTGGTTTTTCACTTGCTGGCAAGTGGGAAAATTATTTCTCTGAAAGCAAAAGCTCTATTGTGGTATTTAATACAGAACTATTTGAGATATGTTGTAGAATGAATACATTCTCCTAAAGATGGAATTCTGTCTAGTACGGCAAAATCAAATATCTGTTCTATAATCAAAATTATTCTACGTATTAATGTTTTTCCTTTTGCCTGAGGTTAAAGTGTGAACCAAGTTATTTATACCCAAACTAGCTGTTTTGTATTTGCTGTCATTTAAAAAAAGTCCCTTCTCACCCATCTGAACAGAAATTAAAGCTACAGAGTGGAGAGATAACAAGAGAAGAGAAGCAGCCGGCCTCAGCCCAGTCCACCCCCAGCAGCACCCCGCACTCCTCCCCTAAGCAGAAGTCCAGGTGAGCCCTTGCTGGGAGCCTTTCGTGCTGCATCGTGCTTCCAGGAAGCTAGTGCTGCATGTGAAATTGGAGCTTAAGCCTGTGGTTTCAGAGGGAGCCGGGGGAGCTGACAGTTCTAGTCTTTTGGCAGGAGGCGCTTCTAGAGGTGTCAGAAGGAGATATAAGGATATGCTTTATTCTTTCTCTTCCAGAGGCTGGTTCACTTCTGGTTCTTCCACAGCCTTACCTGGCCCAAATCCTGGCCCCATGGATTCTGCAAGTGGGGACAAGGACAGAAACTTGGCAGATAAATGGAGCCTCTTTGGACCAAGATCCCTCCAGAAGTCTGATTCAGGTAAGGCAGCTCCTTCAAAAAAAAACAAAAACCAAAAACAAACAAAAAAAAACCATGTGGATGGCATTTTACCATGTATTTTGGGAGCTGCTACTAATTTTGAAATAATTTACTTTTTGGTTTACTTCCATAGGAGGTTTTGCCACCCAGGCTTACAGAGGAGCCCAGAAACCTTCTCCGATGGAACTGATCCGTGCCCAGGCCACCCGCATGGCTGAAGATCCAGCAACCTTCAAGCCACCCAAGATGGACATCCCAGTGGTGGAAGGGAAGAAACAACCGCCACGGACCCACAATCTCAAACCCCGTGACTTAAATGTGCTCACACCCACTGGCTTCTAGAGCTCTTTGTATTCCAGGGACTCTGGATAGAGGATATCTTGTATCCAATTCTCTTTTTACCTTGGCTTTGACATAGGAAAGGTTTCTTTTTTTTTTTTTTTTTTTAACCTCTTAAACCGAGGCTAGAGCTGGAGATATAATTGGGTTTTGAGGAATGTTAGTGCAAAGCTTATCCTTGTGTGGAAGAAGCCATTTTGTATGGTTTAAAGTTAAATCCCAGCAGTGATGTATGGGGGACCTCATTACCCATTTTTGTATCATTTACCTTAGACAAGAACTTTGATCACTGCTTACTAGGTAAATAATGTTTGTGTTGGTCCAGAACTGAGGCTTCTTGATGTCTTTACCACTATCAACACGTGTGCATGGAGAAACCATGAAATAGATGTATTCACGAGCTAGTTTAGACTTTGGCCCTCTTGACTAGTGTACTTCTGTGTGTTCCAGCCTTGTCCGTGGGGTACCTGAGATCTATTTGAGCCAGACTCGGCAGGGACCCCTCTCCCTATGCTGAAACCGGAGCGTCCTTGCCTTTCGGTAGGCCTTACGGATCATGTCATCTTGCAGCCACTCATCGCCGGAGTGCCTCTTTGGCCAGTGCTGTTGGAGGGATGCTTCTCTTATGTGTCACAGAGCAAACACTAGTCTTGCATATCCTTTTTTGCGCTTTGAAAATGAGAGTAACTCACAATTCGGTTGAAAACTTCCTAAGGGAGGAAATTTAGTGTACTGGTTTGGTATAGATAAATGGATGTTAAACTTTTCTGGTATGGAAGGTGGTACCTACATTTAGATTATAGTCATTGAGGTTCATGTGAAACCAGTGTCACCCTATTTTGAATTTTTTTTTTCCATTTTGATTTTCTTGTTCAGGCGAAGCATAAAACTTTTTTTTTTTTTTTTCTGAGAGGTAGAAGAATTTAAAAATTTTCTATATGAAATCATTGTCCCCCACAAAGAGCTGCATACTTTTATAAATATGTAAGTTACTGAAGAACATTTATTTTTCCTCTCACCATGTATATGTTCAGTCATTGTTCTAAACACAGTCTCAAATTCCCACTGTTTTATTTTGGATAGTGTCCTGTCTACATAAGGACCTGGGCTGACCTTTCCATAGAGAAGCCCTGGAGTCTAAAATGATCAGAATAATTAATTTATTTGTGTCTTCTGTTCTGTATGCTTGTATTTCTTATTTGTTTTGACAATAAAAATCCTTAGTGCTTTCTCAAACGTGGATAGCTTTTTTTTGTTTGTTTTTTTTTTGGGTTTTTTTGGTCCTTTTGAGAGTTGTTATTACATTCTGCCTACTCGCAGTCATAGAACCTAAGCATGGTAAACTTGGTATTTTGAAAAACCAGTGCCTTTTTATTGTATCCTTTTAACATCAAATTATTTTTAACACATTCAATCCTTTTGTTTCTGCCTCCCCCTCCCCCCCCAATACATTAGATCTTAACAGACTGGCCACAAAGTCAAATTCATAGGCAACATAACAGCTCTAAAATAGGATGTTTGTGTTCCATCAGGGAGAAATGAGTAGATCTTTCTCTTTCGAAACAGGTTATCAGTACCTTGAATGACATACGTTGATGTCCAGAATTTGTTCAGCAGAGGGATTCTTTTTTCACATATTGAGTGGAAATGGTAAACACATAGTGCATATAGTATTACCTGTTTCAAAAAAGGTATAAATAATTTATTAAAAAATATATACACCTTGTATATTTAAGCCATATTTGAGAACAGGCTAGGATAGAATATCAAAAAAAGATATTTACTAAAGAGTTAGAAAGTCATTATAACCTACAGATAAATAGATAGGTTTGGTCCTCTAAGATTTTTAACTACTTCAGATACTTTTAGAACTTCCAAGTAGTTGGAGATAGAGTTCGGGAGGTATTCTTGGTGTTCAGTGCTTAGAAGGACCTCAGGGGCTGCTCCAGTTCTTTGGAGGAGGCTCTGCATCGGGGTTCAAGTCGGCGGCATAGAAGAGCAGGAGCTTCAACAAGTGCACCTTGTCTTGGAGCTGCGGCACGAGCGGCTCCCCCAGCATCTGGACCAGGCGGCTGCGGAAGGCCTCGATCTGCTTCTCCACGTCCACCACCGTGATGTCATCCCCCTGCTGGGGCTTGGGCTTAATCCTTTTGATGATTAAGTCTTTTCGATCAATCACTGAACTCCGTAAGTGCTCTGCAAGAGGGAAAAAGTCCACTGAACTGTTCTGAACTGCTTTTAACTCCCCTTTATGGTTTAAGATGAAGTGCAATTTTAGCAGGTAGGGTCTGGGCAGAGACTGGTTACTGGGGTACGACTCAAAGGCTATTTGAGGAACTGTGGTAACTCCATTTTTTTTAAAGTTGCTTATTTTTAATTATTTATTTTTGAAAGAGAGAGAGAGCGTGAGTGATGGAGGGGCAGAGAGTGAGAGAGACACAGAATCCGAAGAAAACTTCAGGCTCTGAGCTGTCAGCACAGAGCCCGATGCGGGGCTTGAACCCGTGGGGCTGGAACCCATGGACCATGAGATCATGACCTGAGTTGAAGTCAGATGCTTCATCGACTGAGCCATTCAGGCACCCCTTTTTAAGTCTGAGAGAGAGCGAGCCAGTACGGGGAGGGGCGCAGAGAGAATCTTAAGCAGGCTCCACATTCAGCACAGATCCTGATATGGGGTCTCGATCCCACAACCCTGTGGATCATGACCTGAGCCAAAACCAAGAGACGGATGCTCAACCGACTGTACCACCCAGGCGCCCCTACATGAAGAATTATGATGGTGCAACTTACTCTCAACTCAAGTATTTAGGTGGATCAACAGATAAACCAAATGTGGCAAAATGTTAATAGCTACTAAATCAACATAAAAGGTAAATGGGTGTTCATTGAACCTCTCTTTCAACCCTTCTGTAGGTCCAAAAATAAAAACATTAGGGAAAAGTAAAAGAGGTTATAAAGGTGGGTGATCCCAATGCACAGATCAGCCCCAATAGGATTCTGGAAGCCCCTGGAGCTCAGGCAAAGCAGCACAGGTCAGGCTAAGGCAAATGGATCGAAGAGAGCTCCGAGGACTTGCGGACTCCCAGATGCACCAGTGTGCACTAACTAGAGCATCATTTTCTCGATCTCATTTGTGAAAAGGGGATAATGGCACCTCTGCCAGCAGGGTTCTTAGGACCGAACTACCTTGTACCCAGAAGTTTGGGAAACACAGAATAAACTTATTTTTAAGCAACGTTTACGTTAGGTTACGTTTTCAAATAATATGCTCGATATGTTTCTCCTGAACCTTTAGATAACTTTCCAGGTAAAGTCCCTCTAAACTTACGGCACTAGGCCTAACTGTAATATGAAAAGAAAGTACAACAAATACAACAAATGGAGTGTTCAAAAAGGTAACACAGGGAGCAAAACTGCCTTGAGGTGTCATTTCAGGGCCCTTTCAGCATTCAAGCAACAATTCCAGCAATCACCTACTATGCATCTGGAACTGGGCTAGTTTCCAGGGATACAGTGGAATTAGACTTGGGCCCAGCCCCCACGGACTGGCATTCTACTTGCAGAGAGCCTGACAGTAAACCAGCCGTCAAGAACAACTATAGTTTTGGTGAGTACAATCAGAGAAATAAATCAGATGCTGTGATAGTGGCACTGGGGGAATGAGGGAAGCAGCCCACTCTAGTCAGGGAGGGCCTCTTAGCTGAGTCCTGAAGGATGAGAAGGAGGCAACTGCAAAGGCCTAGGGGAAAAGCAATTCAGGTAATGAGAACAGGAGCTGTAAATGCCCCGAGGCAGGACAAAGCTTGTTCTGAGAACTGGAGGTAAAATCTGGGTAGTAAGGGAGAGCGGTAAAAGATGAGACTGGAAGGCAGTCTGGACCACAGAACAATGTGGAGTTTGGCCTTGAAGAGCACATGGAAGTATCTGGAGGGTTGTAAGCCAGGGAATGTCCTCCATTTTATTCTGCTACTGGTGGAGAATGGTTGTACGGGGGCAAAAGCCTTTTAGTAAAATGGTTTTCTTAAGGCGTATGCTACTCTGAAAAATACGAAAGTGATTTGGAAAAAATGGAAAGAACTGGCTGAACAGAGCGGGGGAGAGGGAAGACTTGGGGTGGGAAGAAGAGTTTGGAGTTCATTAAGGTAATACAGCACATTCAAAGAAGCAAATGTTAGCTCTTTCCATCCAAACACTGTCCAAGGGGGAGGAGCTCTCAGCCAGTGGACTTCGGCCATTCTGGTCCAGTTGGCAAAGGCCTTGGATTTTATGCTTCAGTAAGCATGCTTTAGTAAGTCTTACATCAGAGGCTGCTGGGATTACTGTGTGAGGTGATTTACGTAATGGGTTCAGCACAATACCTTACTCAAGATATTCTGGCTGGTGGTATTATTATTATTATTAGTTCCTGGATCAGGTTACTAGGGTTAACTATTATTATTTTATCATCATCCTCCTCCTCACCCTCATTATCGCCATCACTACAGGAATCTCCAACCTAACAGTCACACTGAGCTTTTTATCTTCTTTACAGATCTTTCTCCATTTATCTCCATGTCAGTAATGGCAGAACCCTGGAGTCAGCCTTCAGACTCAGTCACCCAAGCCCTGTCAAACGGATCTTCAAAGTGCTTCTGTTCCATCCACTGCCTTCCCTGCTGTACCACCCACGTCCTCGCCACCATGACCCCTTCCGGGACCTGCCTGGTCCTCCACCAAACTACTTGCCACACATCAGGCGGAACAATCTTATGCAAAACCACTTTGATGGCTTCTCTTCACTCTTGGAATCAGCTGACATTCCTTAGCATGGCCCAGAAGGCCCTTTGTGCCCTCTCTACCACTCTAGTCTCATCTCGTGCTATTCTCCCCTGGCTCTCTACATTCCAGTCTTTTTTTTTTTTTTTTTTAACATTTATTTATTTTTGAGACAGAGAGAGACAGAGCATGAAGGGGGGAGGGTCAGAGAGAGAGAGGGAGACACAGAATCTGAAACAGGCTCCAGGCTCCGAGCTGTCAGCACAGAGCCCGATGCGGGGCTTGAACTCATGAACCGCGAGATCATGACCCGAGCCGAAGTCAGACGCTTAACCGACTGAGCCACCCAGGCGCCCCTCTACATTCCAGTCTTACTAGAGTGTTCTGTATTTCTTGGACTCACTAAGCAACCTCTTGCCTCAGGGCCCTTAGACGTGCTATTTTTTTTTTTTTTTCCTGGAAAACTTTGCCTTATTTGCCTGCTAACACCAGTACTTCTTATCTCAGCTGAAGTATCACTTCTTCAGGGAAGCCTTTGTGGGTCCCTCCAAAAATAGATTACGTCCTCCTATTTTATGTACTTCTCTTTTCCTTCAGAGCACTTATGTTAATTGTAATTATATGTTACTTGTGTGAATATTTGCGTAGGATCAAATCTTTTCACTAGACAGTAAGCTCTGTGAGGGCAAAGGCCATGTGGGTCTTATTCACTGAAGTATTCCCAATGAGCCAGGCACACAGGAGGCATTTCGTAAATATCTGTTGCCTGCATGAATATATGAATTGAACTGATCTTGCCTGCACCTGCTTTTCTCCCCTCTTCGGACAGGGCTCCTTGTGGGAAGGCTGTATGTGTCTCTCTCCTCAGAATGAACTGGGATCTGACTTCTGCGGGCCATCCTGCTAACCTGTCCAGCCAAGTGGAATTCAGAAAAGCATGTGTTTTTCTTCCTTTGAATACTGTATGTTTAAATTCCTAGCATTCCTAGCTTCAAAATAAGAGGTATAAACTATTCACAAGTGTCAGGAAAACTCATGGCATAAAGCAACTTGTAATTGTGCTGAGGCTCAAACTTGAGCTGCATGGCTATGTAAGTGGGGGTGTGGTGGGACTGGTTCCCTTAGCCAGACAATGTGAGCTCATCTGACAGACCAGCATCTCAGTGGGGCTGCTCTGCCTTGAAATATTTACAAAGTGTGGGGCTTCAGGATATACTTCTCCCCAAGGTCAAGGGTTTGTACAAAAGTAATTTAACTATGTACAGACAGTTTAGAAAATGGGGGCTGGAAATTCCTTAGAATCTCACCTTCTAATCTCACCCAGTGATTTCATAGAATAATAATTCCTTCCAGTGTGTTTTCACTGCACACAGACTGGGCGACAGACCTTTGAATCCTGGCTCTGCACCTTAATTTTCTCTCAGCCTTTGTTTCCCCATCTATAAAAAGGGGATGATAATTTTCTTTACTAGGTTATT